TCATGTTTATATAAGGAAGTGTCTCTTGTATTACTGTATTCTTTTGTTCTCTGCCATAGTTGGGTGCTAGTCTTATCAAAAATCTTGACACTAACATTCTTTCCTTTTCAATGTTCTTTTTTTTAAAAAAAATTAAGAATAATGATTATAACAAGAAAGAATGAATTTCTGCAGCTAATTTAATTTTTTAATTTTCATTTGTGACTTATTTATTGTTCTTTCTGATCTTAGGAAAGAAATAATGTTAAAAATGTTTTCTTAAGGAATTGATTTGATGTGTTTTGATATCCTTGACCATTGATTTTTGTGAGCATTTTACTTTGACAGGACTGGAATTAAGTTTTCTTATGACTCAAAAAGTTTGGTGATACTCCATGTCGAATGCAGGTTTTAAACTTTTCTAAAATGTTTTATTATTAAGTAGAAAGTGGGAGAAAATGAGGGAGAGGGTAGCACTGTTTGCAGAATGTACTCATTACCTTACTTATGTAACTATAACCCCTCTATACATCACCTTTACAATTAAATAAAATTAAAAAATAAAAAAGTAGAGAGTAGAACATATTTTGCACTGTTAAGGAAGCATTTAGTATTTTGTTGAAATAAATACTTCAAAGTGTACTTAATTCTTCATAAGAATTTCTCATGCTGTGAGCTTCTTGGTCCCTTAAACAGTTATCTGTTTCTTCTTCTGTCTTTCTTTAAATGAACATTATTATTTATTCTTTAGTTGTACAAAGGAGATTCAATTCAGTATGTCAGTCTATGAGTACAGTGAAGTTTTTTGTTTTGTTTTGTTTTGGTGCTGGTAATGGGGCTTGCTCTCAGGACTTGGATGCTGATCTTAAGCTTTTTTTTGTCCGTTGTGGGGCTTGAACTCTGGGCCTGGGCACTGTCCCTTAATTCTTCAGCTCAAGACAAGCACTCTGCTGCTTTAGCCATAATAGCACCACTTCTGGTTTTCTAGATGTTTATTGGAGATAAGAATCTCATGGAGTTTCCTGCCCAGGCTGGCTTCGAACCAAGATCTTCAGATCTCAGTCTCCTGAGTAGCTAGGATTATAGCATGAGCCGCTGGCGCCCAGCTTGATTTTAAGCTTTTTTTTTTTTTTTTTTGGGTCCGGTCATGGGGCCTGCACTCTGGGCCTGGGCGCTGTCCCTCAGCTCTTCAGCTCAAGGCTAGCGCTCTACCACTTGAGCCACAGCACCACTTCC